AAAGTCCAGTTGCCTCTTGAAAAAGCACCTTTGGGACAACCATGACCTGGATGACTGAGAATCTCCATAAACGTGCCATTTCTTAGCATACCTAAACAGTCATTAAGGGTGTTCTTGGACCTGCTATGCTTTTGTTTCTCTTTAGTTTAGAGATAGGCTGCATAAGCTAGCCATCTAGTACAAAGCATTCTACATTTGACCAATTCATGGTTAAATATCTAAGCTCTGGCTTTCCTTCTTGATAATTAATGAGATAGTAAAGACTGCCACTCTGTCTTTGAAGGAGAAAGGTCCACTCTTTATAGGTTCCTCATGTTCCTCTCCTCCAGGAGCATAAGAGTGAACTAATAAGAGCCTGCCTTTTGGGGCTAGGTACTACTTTATAATCTCAAAGTTACAATTCTTTTATCTTCTTTTTCAGAAGCTTGAGCCTCAACAGGAATTCTCCATTCCCCGCCCTAAAACACGGACCAGTCCATACCAAGGGTATTCTGGAGGGAAAGATATCAAGCAATAGCAAGGAGAAGCAATGTTGAGTTGACTGAGATGTTGGTATAACAGTGCTTCAGTTTTGCAAAATCAGGGACACTGCTTACACTGCAGTGGATGAAGGAAGATGGTTTTCATTTTCTTCTGTAGGTCTTCTGGCTCAGCACACGTAGCACTTTATACCTCTGAATTCAGTAATGGACCTCTTTTGCTTCCTCCCCCCTCACACAATTATAACTACCCTCCATCAAATCTTTATTAACTGGGCCTTCACCCTCGATCCACATGTGGAAGGCTTGAAGTGGGATTCTTCCTCTGTGTTTATTGGTTCCCTGTGTAATTTTGTCTCTTTCTTTGCATGAGTTCCAAATTGTTCTCTGTATAGGAGGAGCTTAGACTCTATTTTAAATTTTTCACCATGATGGATGGGGAGCAATGCTGCCATGGAAGGCGTTCTTCCCATCAATCAGAACAGAGCTGGAAGGGGCCTTGGAGGTCTTCTAGTCCAATCCCCCTGCTCAAGCAGGAAACATTATAATGATCACATATGGGCTGGTCACCTTATAAAAATAATGTCTCTAAGTTCTATCAAGATTTTTTTTCCTGTGAATTATTTGTCTGAGCTCACTTTCCCTCTGCAGAGAGATTTATCCCAGTCATAGGGGCTGCTGAACATAGATGTGGAGAGCTTGCTGACCATTACTAGTCTCTGAATTAACTCTATTTACCTATTTATTTTGCTCTCAAAAGCACTGAAATTAGGATGATCATCATGATGTTTAAAATACAATTTAATGACCTTCTGTTTATACAAAAGGGGTCTGGTAAGGCAGTCATAAGAGGGGTATAGTTTTCAGTTTAAGTCTGATTTATAGATTTCCACAGTGTATAATAATGGCAGCTATTCATTTGCACCACCATTCTTAGCCTATAGTGCCTGGGATGAAGGGAGACGACACATCTGGGACATACTAGACAGGGGGCAACAGTGAGGTAGGTAAGTGTAGGTGGCAAGAACTTCTGAAATGGTTGCAATGGAAGAAATGGACCCTACCGTAGGGTCCTTGAGAATAAGCCTTATTATACATAACCTTTGCCAATATCTGTTAAAATGTATACCAGATAATCTAAGAACAGCAAATAATAAGAACCTTAAAAGTAATTGATTTTAGAGAGAAAGGGGAAAATCTTTGGCTCAAGTGAGTGACATCAAAATCTCTTATGTTACTTGACTTACTTGACTTTTATAAGGAGAGTCAGACAGGTGTTTACATTTCCCCACTGAAATCAATGGGAAAACACAAGTATATGGTATTCTGTATTTTGTGGGAAAGCAGTCTGGGAGGGTTGCTTATACACTTTTGTCTGCCTTATGTAATATTTATATAGTTCTTATATTACCTTGAATATAGGTACACATGTAATAAATATATAAATATTATGTGTTTGTACCTCGTCCTTTTGTTAATTCCTTTTCATGTGGTATAGTTTACCAAACAGATGCGCTCTATGCACTTATGATGTACAGAGAGTTCATTAGAAGTCCATTAGCATATTTTAGAACACATTATTAAAGATTATCATCCATGGAGCAACTTTGCCTGACCAGAATTTTATAGCTTGCCAAGAAAAATATCTGGGTGATCTTGCTGAAAGCTTTGCTGAAATTAAAATATTACATCAGTGGCACAAAACAATTTGTAAACCAACCGGCACACTGTATGTACACCTATGGAAGATAGCTTGATGTTTTTATGTTTTGTTTGTTTATGTTTGTTTTTAAAAACTGATAAAATAAAAAATAAAAATAAAAAAAATATTACATCAGTGGCTATAGCATTCCTCTAATCCACTAGCTTAATATTTGTCAAAAGAAAAAGAGAGAGAAAAAGAGGAAGGATACAAAAATAGTCCGACATGCCTTGTTCTTGCCATAGAATCACTGTCCTCATAGGAAATCCCTACGCCACTGAGGCCAGGGCCTTTATTTCATGCAGGTATCGAAACTAAACCGTGAGTGTGAGATGGCTATCTTGAACTGATTGGATGCCAGCCCCGATCTGAAGACATCAAGGGATGGCACATACATTGTGACACTTTCCTGTTGTAACTCTAACAATGGTGCAATTTTTGAAGATATATTCTTATTTTTATTCAAGAAACAACTAGAAAGTCAATCTGGCCACTCCAGTAATCTTGCTGGCTCATCAGCCATACCTCCTATGAGTTATACAGCTTCTGGCTACAGAAAAGATGCTGGCCCCAGTTTAAAAGGTGCATTTCCTTTAAAGGCTGCAGGAAAAAGGGCCAGATCACTCTCAGGCATTAAGTCCAAAAGTCTTTGCTTTATCAGGGCACTATCATCTACAAATAAACATCCTATAAACCAGTTCAGCTGCACTGAGATTGCTTTTGATTCAGTAAAAAAAAAACTTGTAAATGTGCGTACCCAAAGTGATACCCCTTTAAATATTAGAAGGCTTATTTCTGAGTAAACACATTTAACCAGCTAAGCCAGATGCCTGCAATGATAATCTATTGGCAAACCATGTTACAAATGCTCCTGTGAATTGCTTTGGGAATTGATAACAGCTAATAAAACTGGTGAAATAAATAAATATTCACGTTCATTTTCTCTTCCTTCTTAACTTGCATTTGGTTTTGCTCTCAGTCTCCAGGATTCCTCTTACACTGTCTTCCATGTGGCTTTTCCAAATTCTCTTTTCATTCATTTTCTGTATCTTTGCAATTTTGGTGGGGGTAAGGTTAGGGGGTCCTCCACAGGTG